GAATGGACTCTGCACACTAAAATAGTGTGACTCCAAATTCATAAACACTTGAACTTGCCCAAAACGATGAAGAACTAGATTCAGCAGCCAAAGAGCATCAAATCTGAAATATGCCGTTTTCTTCCTGAAAACAACTCGGCACAATCAATCCAAAACTCCACATGTTCAATTTGTTAGTATTGAATTCTTTAGGCTGAATGCGCAGTTGAGGTTCGGCGCACACGCTTTGATTCGCTTCGCAATACCAAGCCTGAGCTTTATTCAAGCAATCACACAACCCCAAGCCCAAAACCAAACACAAAAACAGTCCTTAACTTTGATTCAAGTCTGAGAGCTAATGGGTTAGTTGTGGTATGTAACATCTCTCCTTGAAGTTGACTTTTGGTAGCGGAGCTCTTCCACCACAAGGTTTGCTTGTTTAAGCTCAGGTGCTTTGACAAGCTGCAAAGATATCTTCTATAGCATTCACCATGGCCACTGTGTTGGCTTGTTCAAAAACTCTTGAACAAAGCGAGCACTTAATTACATAGTTTGGCAGCTGCATGATGGTAGAGCATGCCTTGATGCCCTCAAGTGGGGCACAAAATCAGAAGCCTGTAACCTTCAAAACATTGGATACCGTAACAGTACACTCTCCTCAATACTTCAGCCACATGGATGGGCCATGGTAAGTGAGAGTATGCATGTTTGTGCCATGGTCACTGCGAGGAGCGACGGAGAAAAGCACAGCGGAAAGCACTGGAGTGTTGGACAAAACAAAATGCAAAAGTTGCCTGTGCATTAGCCTCTCCAACTAAGAGCCCTCAATTAAACCTAGCCGCATCAGCAGTGATACTACCAACTGCCAAGCCTTTGAATTTACCTAAACTTGTGTGAACAGGCACCATTCCTAACCATCATTCTAAATTACCAGCAGCGTCCCCAATCAACACACCAACGTTCCAGAAATGATTCCCACAAGTTGACAAGTGGAAAGTGTGTACCCAACCACCATACCAGCGTACCAGCAAGCGTACCCAACCACCGT